CGTGGCTCAAACCATGTTATATCCTTATCAGAAGGGTTGAAAAAAAGTCCGTCAGTAAGCAATTAGGGACTGGCTCGTCATAATGATTAGACTGAGTAATGTTTCACGTCTTGACAACTCGTTCCATCTGCCCCAGTCTGAATTATTGTGATGTCAAGAGCGCATGAATTCTTCCTTGGACAACATAATTACCAAGAATGTATGTCATTTCCAAGCTATGCGTATGCATTCAAGCTCCTTCATGATGCGCAGTAAAGAAAACTGTATATGCCACCTCTTATTGATTACTAATCACCAAACAATTATCGTTAAGCTTTGCATACTGTCATAGGTCGCGATTAGTCAGAAAAGGGTTTCTTCTGATCAGGAGAGAGCAAATGAAAAACTGAATTCATTTGCTGGAAAGAAACATTTTATGGGAGTGTTAGTAACCATTTGAAAGATGAGACTTGAGAATCTACTACAGAATCAATAGCCACAGAATAACTACAGAATCACGACGTCGTTTTTTCAAAACACCCCTTTATAACGTTGTAGAATCCAGATCAGAAACTTAGTTTCACACTTGTTTTCGCCCTCATTTATATCCCTCGTATAATTCGTTGGAAGCCGAAAAGAATATCAGTGTGTGGAGATGCTTTCGTAGTGTTTTAGTCAATCGTTTTATGTAGGGTTTCTTTCAAAACAAGGGAAAAATTGTCAATTGAATAAAAATACATCGATCGTCCCGCCTTGCCCTGTTCCGCCACCCTCCCTTTCTTGGACATCGCCTTGTCAAATAGCTTGCAGACAACGTTGCAAAAAATGTACAACTCGATCCTACTTTCCATGCTAAACCATATTTTTAGATAATAAGCACATCGCAAGAATTAGAAATTATTACGCTATCATATGCTCACTGATATCCTAGAGAAAAACTCTGTCCGGCGAGATTTGAAGCACAAATCAAAAGACTAGAGGAGATCAGAAGGTTAGAATAGCTTTGAAGCGAAAGCAATCACATTTATGGGTTCTTTGAAGCTTGTGCTATAGTTTAAAAATAGCACTCTAAGGAAGGGGCTTTGTCCAGCGAAATATAAGCGAGATAAGATAAAAAACATGTACTTTAATAAAACATGATTTCATTTTGAATGCTACAACGTTGTGGAGGGTATTTTGAAAAAGCAGCATCGTGGAGCTGTATATTGAAGTTTCTTTTAAAAGATTACTAGCACTCCTATAAAAAGTTCATCTCCAGCAAATGGGATCGGTTTTTCATTTGTTCACCCTTGATCAGGAAAAGCCCAAAAGTGCATAATATACTTTTAAACTATTTAGAGTCATCAAAGTATCACGATCAGACTGTGTCATCATTTGTTTACTCCATACCCGCACGCCTACAATGAAGACACGGCTTATCTCCACGACTTCATTGGGTGTGTAAAAGGCGTGGATGCGGTGGCAAATAGCTGAGTCGGTACCGCTTGCTGTTCATCTTAAAAAAGCCTCGTTTGCCATCAGTACTTGTATTACAATTAGCATCTTTATTAGTACAATTAGCATATCATGATTTTCAAGCCGTCCTCCATAGGTCACAAAGGACTGCTATAAATGAAATTTTTCACCGATAGGTAAACATCAAGATTTCACGCGTAGCGTGAGCGTGAGTGTTATACCCGACAATGTGTTGGATTTGGATTGACTATCGTATGAAGTATGCAAACTATAGTGAATCCACATTTGTTACAAGTTAGACTGACCTATTGAATTCAACAGAGATCAATTCCTTGCATTCTTTTGTCAAGCTGCTATTCTTGGATGTCGAAAGAAGAAGGGATAAAATGTAATGTGAGTAGGAGGCTTACCACATCAGCATTGTGTAACATATCCATTTGCAAGCAAAGAGGGCCATTATGACTCTCAGTTGGTTGCCCGTTTGAACGGTGACGAGGAGTGGTGCATGCTCCATTACAAATTCAGGTTAATCAAGTTCTAAGAGGAAAATTACTATCAAAAACGATAAAACATCACTGATGAGACTTCTGCATGAATGATATTAGCATGATTAACGCTAATTCTTCCCATACTCTTGCCTTTCTCATAGGGAAAAGCCGCATTTTGGTGCGAAAGAAATATATTTTCAACTGTTCTCAAACAATTCCTCCTATCTTCTTGATGCTTTTGTAGTCAGTAGCTTACTTAAAAAATCTTGATTCTAATACTATACTTGTTGCTTTAAATTAGTTCCAAAGTACGTTTTAATAGATCCTTTCATTATTATTTGAGTCAACTTGTCATGTGGTCTGGTAAGGGCTCTTGTACAACCCGATACACGTGTTTCGTCTTTACAGACTCGTCAGTCGAGCAGAACCCGTCGTCTTTCGATCGTTTTATAGTAAGTTCTCTCGGGACTCCTATTCTCCCTAGAGAGTTATCAAAGATGAACGTTTTACGTTCTATGTCAAGTGAAGTTTTCAAGTAACACAGAGTGTTGTACACTCGATTGCTCTTTGGCTGGTATTTTTATCACATTATACCCTTATTTCGAGTGTTTTGTTAAGACCACGCTCAAATTTCAATAGATCCTTTCATTATTATTTGAGCCAACTTGTCATATGGTCTGGTAAGGGCTCTTGTATAGCCCGATACACGTGTTTCTGATGACTCTCTATAAGGAGTGTAAGGCTCCCGAGAGAAATGACTATGTAAAGATCGAAAGACGACGGGTTCTGCCCGGCTGACGAGTCTGCAAGGACGAAACACGTGTATCGGGCTGTACAAGAGCCCTTACCAGACTATATGACAAGTTGGCTCAAAAAATAATGAAAGAATCTGTTGAAATTTAGGCGTGATCTTAACAAAACACTCGAAATAAAGATATAGTAAGTTTACATAAGAAACAAATCTTACGTTTTGCAATCGCAACCCAATTTTACTATTTCATAACGATTGTTTGGAATGGTGCAATTAGATTTCGATTTTTTAGACTTTTTAATTGCAAATTAATTTCTGCCACGCAATCGCATTCTAAGGGTTGTGCATGTGAGCTCTCGCTTTCTTTTAGAAAAGACCTACTCTATCAACTTGTTAATATTTATTCGATGGCTAAAATCAAGGGGATTCGAACGGTGTATTGTTACTCAAATAGGCTCGTTTTTGCGCTAGAATAGCCAAAATAAAATTTTGTTTCGCATTTATGGATATTTAGAAAAGCAAAATTTTTCAATAAGCAGCTAATAATCATTCAATAGTGCAAATCTCAGTGGTTTCAATGACGTAGTTTATTTTTAGATTGGGTTTCGCACTTCAAAGCGACATTGGCCCCAACTCATCGTGCCTTTGCAACGTGTCATTTAACTTTGAAACATAGTCTTCTTTTGACTGTTACTGTACAATAAGGAGTTATTTCCAAAACAAAGGTGTTATGGAAATCGTCGAGCTTTTAGTTATCGAAATATTATCAAAAGTTCAACGGAGAAGGTATCTTCAGTGGGAAATGTTTGAGTGTGAAAGGTATTCTAATTTTTACTGTTAGAGAACACTAAGGATGCCTTTTAAAAATTAAGTTCGCCTCCAAAATTTTCAAGATTCAAACTATTGAATGACTATTATAACTCTGAAAAGAATTATAAACCTCGCTTCTCCCAAGAGGTCAAAACAAGACGCAAAAATCAAAAATAATTAAAATTTCTGGTTCAATCTCATGATGACTGTAACAGCATTCCAAGAAGTCTTTTTCGCAAAACCAGTACACTGTAGAAATTACCAAGCTACACCGATCTAATAGTCATTAATTGACCGTAAAAAAAACCTTTATCCCGAGGGTAATATCGAAGTGTCAAAGAAGATTTTTTTGGACTATTTGAGAGAAGAAAACAGATCATCAAAGGAATAAAATGCATGGTTCAAATTTACTTAATTTTAGCTATCAAATAACTACCAAAATATTTTACAAAAGTTGAATATACGTTTTAACCAATGGGCTCAAACACGTAGAGATAAACGAACAGCATCGCTAAACCCCAACTCTTCTTCGCGTACCGTAGCTATGAATAATGAATTTGATCGAAATTACGCATCGATCTGAGAAATGGGAATTTAAATTGCATTGATGATTAGAAAAATATTGAGAGTTATCGATGAAGTGGGATCGCATGCAATAAACACCACTATTTTTGACGAATATTCATTTTTGCAACTTCAGCGTATGGCGAATTTTATGCACTTTATGCGATAGAGCATGTGAAAACTGAAATAACTAGAAGATGAGTTCGACATAATTGTGGACAAGTATAAATAAAATATCGTAGAAATGTGTGGTGAAGTTTCTAAACATAGCCCTTTTATGAATATTTGCTTTTCCACTTTGAATGCGTGGAATATAAATGGAGCAATTGAGCAAACCTTACTAAAGTCTGTTCTATCATGTTTGACCATTTACTGGCACAGAAATCCCATTTATTGGCAAAAAAGTGTGAATGTCATTAGAAAACTGCCACATTAACCTTGAAGCAAGCGCCGACAGCCTCTTTTCGTGGCCGTCCGAGCCGCCCACCAGCCAAAAATGGATCCGTCCGCAAAAGTTATACAAAAAATTGCAGTTGCAGTTCGTTTTTCATTTTTTTTTTGTCTGAGGATTGTGGACGAACAGTCAAGTAAGCTCGTTTGTCGTGATCAGCGTACAAAAGACTTTGACCAGTGAGAAATTGCTGTCACTATGTTCTTTATAGCAGAAAAAGAACAGCAAGAGATCGGACTCGCTCCGATGTGAAATCGTCTCATTGAAGTTTCAGGAATTATTTGAGGCGCTGCTTCCTGCGTTTTCGTAAGAGAATTACGAATGCCTGGCATACAAATGCCGTAGAATATTGAGGAATATCCTTTGATCAAAATTAAATTTGCAGATTAGCATAGTGACTTTGGTTAGAAAAATAAAGAGAACGACTCTGATTGAGAAAGCATTGAAGCTCACCAATTATCTAAAAACGAACCATCGATGGGTGATCTAAAAAATCGAGCAGTTCATCAGCCGGGATTCGAACCCAGATATCACTCCTTTCGGGAGCTTATGTTGAACCGTTACACCACCAATGCAAAAGTTTTTGCACAGCACTCCACATTGTTGGGTATATTATAAGACCATATCACCGCAAGAAGCAGTCATATAGATGGCTTTCGATTGATTATGTGCGTACTGCCCAAAAAAGCCAGTTTCTATCTCAAATAACAACTTTCTATCCCCCTTTCCACTAATAATTCAACTTCTGTATCAAATCTCATCTACTAAAATATGGAACTGCTTTTGTAGTTTGGATTTTGGTATTTCAATGCTGCTGTTAAGAAATAAAATGTTATTAAACCCTCTACCATCCACCACGTCAGATCGCCCGATATGTTCGTTTAAAACAGTCCTTAGTAAATGAATAGCTCATTTTTAGTGTACTACCGTCTGTACTATATTATTAGTAATGATGTTGTATTGTAAATTATACTTTGTGTGCCCGTAAAAAACCACTACATCGATTGGGATTTTTCGTGAGGTGCGATCAAGGTGTCGCTCATCGGCCATCAATTTTACGTGGGGCTCATTACTTGAAGAAGCTTAACAATGGAGGCAGACTATACTTTGACTAAATCGCCAGTCTGAAGATTTTTGAGAGAGTTATGAACGCTTCGTATACATTGTGTATAGAATATCGGAGAATACATCTAGTTAAGAGTGAAATTCGCAGATTAGCCTAATCACCAGCACTGATAGTTAGAAGAAAGAAATTTAATCGACCTGGAATTTTGCCAAACTTCAATCGTTTTCACAATAGGAACCATTGATGATTAACCTAAAAGGTAAATTAGTTCAGTAACATCCACAGATTACTCAAGCTCTTATGAAAGTTGCAAATTTCGTGCCATTGGAAACTTAGTGGTATCATGAGTGATTGTTTCGTCAAGTGCTAACTGTGTTTATTACGACTGTAGGGCTGCATTTCTATCTTGAAATAAAAACTCTCCACCCTCATTTTTACACAGTCATATAACTTCCATATTAAATCTAATTTACTCGAATATGGTACCTTGACGTTTGAATCACGAATACCAATGTTGCTTTTAGGAAGTGTAATGTCAGTAAACCCTTTGTCATCCATCACGTCAGATCAACCGAATGTCCGTTATGAATAGATCTCATTAATTGAATTACTAATTTTCAGTACACTACCGCTGTACTATAGGAGTAGCATTAACGTTGTGCTGCTTCTTGCACTTTGTGTGTTTACTGAATTATAGCTATAAACGATTGATTTTTTGTAAGATACGATCAAGGTGGTGGTCAATGAACATCACTTCTACATGAGACTTTCTGTTTGAAGCAACTTAGGAAGCAGGATTTGAGCACGAACGTCTATGTCATATTTGTGAACAGCGGGAGAAAACTTAAATACGCATTATTGTGCGTGATTATGCTACAAAATGCTGAGTCAGTGAGAAATGGTGCTGCCATGGTAATTGCTTGCAGAAATGACTGGGTGGTGACAAATACACCCCACTGAATAGCCATAGTAGATTTTAAGAGTTATGAATGCCTCGCATACATCGTGCATAAAAATCGCTTAATATATCCAAATAATAGTTTAGCTCGCTGATTAGCCTAATCACCAGCACTGATATCTAAAGGAGAAAAAACCCATCAAATTGACAATTCGTCAAAGCTTACTCTACTTCAGAACACGAACTATTGATGCTTAACCCAATGAGTAAATTAGTTCTTCTGAATTCAGTTGAGATTCACTCTTTGTTTGCTGCGAATAATCAGACAAAGGTAGAAAAGCTCTAAAGACAGTAGGTCGATGTTTATCAGATGACCCGTTCAAAACATACAACTGCATAACAATTCTATGTTCTGATTTTCTGTCAGATATAAAATAGACGATGATCATATGTCCTTAATGTTCAACGCGCAGGCTTTCACATATCAGCCTGATTGCTCAAAAAACACATTATTCGTGATGAAGTAACAATGAGCTACAAAATATACTTCTTCAATGTTCAGCAGACCGGTCAGGAACATCAATAGAAAACTCAGACAACATTGTCACGCAACACAACAATCATCTCACTACTTTTTTTGCTTCAACTCTTATTTCTGAATTGAACTTGTGTGACATCGGACACAATTCACAGTAAAACACGAACAACGCAAACTTAGATTGAGAAAATCTCGTTTATATCTCATATTAGTCTCATCTTTCATACTTTACTTTTGCAAGTTCATTTTAATATGAACTATCTGTTTCATCATCATTGTTTTCAAACGGCAATAAGTGAATCAGTTTTGAATGAAGTATCACGCATTTACCGCACTGTTCGCTGGCGCTATCCATTAGAAGACTCTTCAAAGAGACTGCAGACATATATGAACATGAAACTTAAACTCAAAAAAATTACGAGAGCTTGACATAACAGTGAAATTTATGCCATTACTCTGACTAAGAGTGATTAGGATTACCGCCTCTTTTTCCAAATATGAAAATTTATCCAAAAAAGTGAAATTCTTACTAATTTCTTCAGAGCAAGATATGCGCAGTGGGAAGGTAATGTTAATTAGTCAGAGAAACATTTCACCTCTCCTAAAAAGGAATTGTATCCAGAAAACGGATCACTGATCTCGATCTGACTAGTAAATCAGCTCCTTCAAACTCAGCTAGGAT